TGCCATTGTACGTCCGCAATCAAGATACTTCAGAGGAAATCAAAAGCACCAACGGGGAAATGAAGTGTGCACTCTCTCTTTCTCTCTCAAACACACACACAAACTTCTGCCTCCAAAATGGGTCAAGTGAAAGCTGTGGGCGTGGGCTGTGGGGGGAGGGTGGGAGGGGAGGAGGCCCAGGGCTGGGAGCAGCCTGGGTGCTGTGCCCACTCACCCTTCTGGCATAGGGGATGGTAGCAGCTGCAGGGTGGGGTGGGACGTGAGGATAAATATACACCTCCCCATGCATATGGATAATGCACACAGCTGCCCTGCCTGCTTTGCGTTCATTAGGACCAACTGTTTCAGGAGCGGTGGCAGGCGGGCGGGAGGGGGTAATGTGCCCATTCACAGACTGGGGGTAGGGGGCTGCCTGCAGCTGTGCAGACACCTCCCCCCTGCCTGGATCAGCATCCCAGCCCCTTCCTCCCTCTTTTTCTTCCTTCCAACTCACCACTCTGGCAGATCTGGGGGTCTCAGGGTGGGAAAGGGGGCTAGGGAGTTGGCTGACTCCTCACAGGAGCTGGGGGAATTGAAGGGAGAGTTGGGCTAGATTGCATCCCCTGGCCCCAGGATGGGCTGTTGCTTACAAACCAAAGCTCCTTATCGCCTTCTTTCCAAACGCCATCTGCAGCATCCAGGCAGGAAAACGTTTTGGTCCAGGGAGGCCCCATCCATGTTCACAAGCCTTAGATCAGATCTGTGCCCCCAGACAGATTCCAAGGGCGAGGGGGTGGTGTGCCAGCATGATTGTATGTGATTCTGACATCGTGGCAGCGAGTCCTAGGCTCCAACTCCCCAGAGCAGGTCACCAGGTGGGAGTGAGGACTGGGATATTGGGCGGGGCGGGAGAGGGGCGGTATTGAGAGCCAGACTGGTTGGTGTACTGGTTAGGGCCACCAAGTATGGCCGCGCAGCTTTGGCCCTACACAAGGACATGCCGCTGAGGGGCCCTCGGCTAGTGCCAAGCCTTGCACCCTGGTGTGCGCATCCTCTCCCATATGGGCCAGCGGTGGCCCAGGTGACAGGCCTGTCTAGTCTCAGGAACATGAATTAACAAGGCAAAGGAAGACTGTGGGTGGGCAGTGGCCTCGTGCGTGTGTCTGCAGTGGGCCCGTCTCTTTCCCCTGCAGTCGTCTAAGTGGGCGTCGGGCTGGATGGGGGCTGCTGAGCCCTGGGCGAGCATGGAGGCAGCTGAGCCAGGTCAGGGCCCAAAGAGCAACAGCTCTCCAGCCTCTTTGTTGTCAGGTTGGGGCTGGGACCCCCTGCCCCCTCTGCTGGTGGCCTCCAGAGCAGCAGTCACCGCTGGGCCTCTGGGGAAGGGTCTTGTGGGTCCTGAAGAGGGGGTGGCACAGAGAGGCCTCTGGCCCACCCACCTCCCTGTTTCCTGGAGCCCCTCTCCCAGCTGGTCATGGCCCTTCGTTCAGTCAAGAGGGCGTCCTGGAGAAAAACGGGCTTTCGAGTGGGCAGGCATCCCAGCCAAGCCATTGCCTAGCTGTGTGGTTCCAGGCAAGTGACTTAACCTCTGAAGGCCTTGGTTTCCTCACCTGGGAAACAGCAATAGGAATGGCTGCCTTGTAGGGCCAAGGGATCAAACCAGCCAATGACTAACAGGAGGAGCAGTTTGCTCAGCTTAGTGGCAGTCCTGCCCCCAACCCTTCTAGCTTTCAGCTTCAGGTAGGCAAGCAAGTTCTCCTTCAACCTGCCCCTCCTTGACTCGGCTGCTGCAGTTCTGCCATTAATATTTCATTTCTGTCGCGGAGGCTTTTTGTCCTTGGGACGCTGCTACTCACTCTGGGAACAGAAACCTCTCCATGTCCCTTTGGGCAGGAGGGTTCCTTAGCCCCTTTTCTGGCCTTAGAAGCCTAAAGGGAAAAGGGAACCATGCTGTGAACTTGGAGCCCCGTAGTCAAACAGGCTTGGGTTCAAATCCCGGCTCTGCCTTGCTCTTCCTGTGTGATCTTGAGCACGTGAGTCAAATTCAGTGAGCCCTAGCTCCAAACTGTGGGTGATACGACCTGCAGTTAATAGTGTTGCAAGGATTAAATGCTGTGAAGTACCTGCCACAAGTGGGTGCCCCCTTAACAACCTGCCCTGGTCTGACTGACCCTGGGGGGTTGGTCAGATCTCCACATGCTCATGTGTGTGGCTGGTTGTGGACACATACACACACACACACACACACACACACACCCCTGACAGTGCTGGACCAGCAGATCCACTGCAGGGAGTGGGAGCTCTCTTTCCCTCCTCCCTGCCCAGCTCCTGCAGTGTTGGAAAAGGAAATTACTGAACAGATTGCAATTAAGGGGGGAAAAGAGGGAGAGGGAGACAGAGGCCCTAAAATGCAGCTTGACTGAGCGCTAAACTGTGTTTTTGCCCGGAGCCAATCAGAAGCCTCTGACAAGAGCATGTTCCCACTTACAAATCTAATTGCAGGAGGTGTGGCTGGGGTGGACCTGGGAGCCCCGGTGAGGAGGGGGCTGCCAGCATCTCCAGGAAGGCTGCCGGCTGCTTGCTTGTTGCCTGGAAAGTTCGCCAAGTGGAGGGGCCAGGTGGCAGGGCAGAGGTCTTGGGGGTCTGGGAAGGCCTGGATTCAGAATTTCCCCCAGTTATAATAGTTACCGATGACTTGGCATCGCCTACACACTGGACATCCAAACTTCCACTAATCCTTTCTGAGAATGCCATGCGGCAGATGACTATTACCTCACTTTACAGATAAGAAACAGAGGCACAGAGTGTCCCTACTGCAGGCTGACTATTGCCCAAGGTCTAGGTATTTTATTGACATTTTATCTCCTTTCAATCTCCCTATAATTTTAATCCCATTCCACAGGGGAAGAGGCAAGACTCCGAGAGAGTAGCCAACTTGTCCAAGATCACAGAGCTGATTTATAGATGACTCCAGAGAACACACTTAAATTGTCCCAGAGCCAGGCATTCTGGATAGAGTTACTAGATTTAGCAAAATAACAAAAACCAAAAACCGCGATGGCCAGTGAAAATTTGAATTTCAGATAAACAATTACTTTTTTTTAGTATTATAAGTATGTCCTAAATATTGCATGGGATATACTTACACTAAAAATGATTCCTTGTTTATTTGAAATTTAACCGAATGTCCTGCCATTTATCTGGCAACACTAGACCTCTCTCCTTCTGCCTCAAGCTCCCCTCTATTTTGCCAGCAGTTTTCCTTTAAAGGGGCCCCTTCCAGAGCCATGCTGGTGTCTCCAGACCGAGGAAGCGAGGCTGCCAAAGGGGAAAGTAAGCTCCTCTGCTCTAGAGGGCAGAGCCCTGGGCCAGTGCCCACTCTGCCACCTCCTGTGTGACTTTGGGCAAGTCTATCCCCCTCTCTGAACTCTCTCGAAAAGGAAGACCCAGGATCAGATAGTTGCAAACATCCTTGTCAGCCCTAACTTTCCTAATGTCTTCACCCCTTTTTCCGTCTGTGCAAAGGATGGTACGAAATACATGGTTGTGGCCTGGCTGGTGTGGCTCGGTGGTTGAGTGTCAACCTATGATCCAGGAGGTCATGGGTTTGATTTCCGGTACGGGCGTGTGCGCTGCGGGCTCGATCCCCACTTTGGGGCATGCATGAGGCAGCCCATCAACGATCCTCTCTCATCATTGATGTTTCTATCTCTCTCCCTCTTGCTTTCTCTCTGAAATCAATAAAAATATATTTTAAAATAAACAAACAAACAAACAAACAAACAGTTGTGCTGTGAGGACAGAAGTTACCCAACACCTGGGACAGAAATGCCCAGGGAGCAGTGCTGGTCAGAGGAGACCCATGGTGTGGGCTTAGAAGGCTAGGGGCTCAGGCTACTGGGAAATGGGCTGTTACTGTCTTTAGCTCCCAGAGGTGGCAGCTTGCTGTAGCCTTCAGACCTGGGTTCCAGGCCCCTCCTGCACTAACAGCTCTGTGATCTTGGGTAAAACCCTTCACCCAGGCAAGGGCCCCAGTTTCCGCCACTGTAAAGTAGGCCTAGTGCTGCCCCGCGATGTATGCAGAGTGCCTGGTAGGTGGGAGGAGCTTACTAAGCGGTTATTTTTATTTTTGTTATTGGTGGTGTTAATATTACATCCTTCTGGAAAAAAAAAAAGCACCTTGAGGAATGCTAACCTCTGAAATAACAAACAGATTTCAGGCCCTCTCTGAGCTTCAGCAAAGAACACAACACATTCCAGGCGGCCTTCATTTCAGCTAAATTTTATTTGTTGGATTTTTGACAGACATCTAAATTATACAGTGGGTTTTCCACATGACCAAATACCACGTCCATTTCTTTATCATTTTCAAAAGGGACTATATAAAAAGAAACTTTCGATGGATCAGACTGAACCCTGAAACCACATGGAGTGCAGAGCTAAAAATAAAAGGAAGAACTTGCCCCCGAGAAGGAAAGAGAAATCAAAGCAAACTCTGACGGGAATCAAGGGACGAGCCCCGGAGAGGCTGACATGGTGTCACCCTCCAGGGCAGGTCCGGATAAGGAGCGGCCCACAGTGAGGGTGAGGCACCGAGTGACACAAAAATAGCCGCCGCTTTAGCCCAGAGGGGAATAAAGAAATTTGTCAAAAGCCCGGATAGAGAGGAGAGGAGGGAGGGAGGGGGCAGGACTGTGTCCTTCCAGCAGTCTCAGGACCTGTGGACTTCTTTCTCCCCGCACATGTGTACCCACCGGCATAATCGCTGACTTTCAGCTTTGCGCCCGCCCGACATGTTCCCTGGCTCAGCCCACATCAATGACACCCTTGTTTCCATAGTAACCAGGGGAGAGTGAAGGGGAAAGGGTGTGTTGCACTGGGCTCGGGGATCCAGCCAGGAGGAGCTGCACAGGGAAGGTCAGTAGGAGGGGAAGGGAGTTTTTCTCACAACTGGTCTGAGCACACATCCTGGGGCCCCCGTCCCGGGCCTTGGTGCCCCCCAGCCCTCTCCCCCGCACATTCAGATGCAGAGGTGCACAGAGCAAGTCTCACCCAGACACACTAGGGGCGGGAGGATGGGAGACCGGGTATCCCCTTTCTAGTTTCAAATTCTATCTTCTGGTCATGGCCCCGGGGGTGGGAGTGGGGCTGGGGAGAGGAAAGGGGACTTTAGGAGTATTTTGTTTTTACAAATGGGAGCTTTTAAAGTCTGCGTTTTTCAGGCATCTCTCATCTACCCCATGAGCCCCCAGGAGGGTCCAGCAGGGTTCAAAGGGAAGATGAAAGCTTGTGACATCTACCATGTCACTCTGTCTTTAGCTGAAAAGCAAATGTGAAGGTTCACAGAGGCTGTTATCAGAGGAGGGGAGTGGCTTCTGCCTGCTGGCCCAGGCCTGGGGAGGACTCTTGCAAAGAGTTCCCTAAGTTGGTGGCAAAAGAACCAAAGTATTTTACAGACTATCCACTGCCAACGTTCCTATCACATTGTTCCAAAATCACAGACCTCAAAGCAGGCCGCTGCCCTTCAGCTCGCATCCCTGGTGCCCTATTTGGAGGGAAAACCCATTTTCAAGCCCTAGAGCCACATTTCCAGCTGGATGGCAGGGGGATTTTGGTTTCTTGCGATTCTGTTTTCCTTTGTTCAAAGTGGGAGAGGCCCTGGGGGAGACAAGGAAGCCAGAGGAGGAGGTAGCAGGAAGCAGGTAGCTCAGTGGTTTGGAAAACCCTCACCTCCTTTTGTTTTACAAGCCCTTACAGGTCTGCCCACAGCACCCCCGGCGCAGCTTTTCATGTTGGCAGGAATGACTTCCAGCCCAGCACGCCGTTGAGGCTGCACAGGCTTCAGCTTCACCTGCACAACTTTGTCCAGAAAAGCTGGGCACAGACGGCCGGGGCTGGAGTGGCCCCCCCCTCTGCTCACAGGCCTGAGTGGGTTTGGGAAGGGCCACCTCCTGGGATGAGAAGGCAGCTGGCCTCCTGAGGCCCACCAGCCAGCCACTGGACAGTCTCTTATTCATTCTCTGAAAACCCCTCGGCTCAGGCACCAGAACAGAGTTCAATTCAGGAGCTGGGTGATGCTCTGGCCAGCTTTCAGGCTTGAAGCTAGGGATTTCTTAAGACTCAGGAAAACAAGCTCTTTTTGCAACACGGGGCGGGAGAAGTCTCCTTCCAGTCCTCTCCAATCAATCAACAGAGGACACATTTTGCTGGAGAGAGGCAGGGGAGATGGGCAGCTGGGGTGACTCTGGCTTCCCTGGGAGTGGCCCCTGCAATCACACACCTTCTTCCCAGCAGCAAACCCTCTCCGCCTATGAGCTTCCCACACCCCCAAGTTGCCAGCATTGTAAAAATTGATCTTGAAAAAATCGATCTGCCTGCCTTTTCTCAGTGGAGCAGGTTCATGGGTAAGCTGCATTTATTTTAAAAATCTGATAGCAACGGCCTATTGTGATCATTTAAACACAGAATTCTTTGAGCTTTAGAAATCCCTTCTATAGGACTGCCGCGCAGAAGCCAGCTAATCTCAGTCGGCTGCTCCCTGCTCCACTGAACTGGAGAAAGCCTGTTTACGCTGGCCCGAGCCCTCCGTGTGAGGGCTTCCTAAGGACCTTGTAATTTTTCTGGAATTAAACCTCCCACCTCTCCTGACATTCCAGATGTCATTATAGTCAAAAGTCATAAGAATTTGCTTCCCGGTATAGCTGGCTGGGGGGTTGGGATGGGCCATGTTTATGTGGTGACTTGTTTGCAAGAAAGGATTTTTTTTCCTCTCCAAAGGGTGAGGATTACACACACAGTCTCCTACCTGCATGACAAGATGGTTTAATCATCTGCTCTTCCTCCCTTCCCCCCAGCAGCTTCCCTCCGGACGGAATGCAGCCCTGGCTCAGTTGGTGATGGTAAAAATCACTGACCAGCACCAGCAAACACTGTCTGTGCTTCCAAAACCATGGGGAGAGCAAGGGACAGGTCAGTAAATAAATGAACGCAGCATAAGCTGCTTCTTTCTCTTTCTCTTTTCTTTTTTTTGAAAGAAGAAAAAAAAAAAGCCCACTGGAATTGTCTGAACTGCAATGCAATCTCTTGCTCATTTAAAAGATCTCATTTTCTAATCATGTGCTTTGAGACATTTAATACTATTTCAATTATGCAGAGGAAATAATATAATTCCTTTATTTGAAAAATGATACTGAACCTCAGAGATCAGTTAAATCTACTGCTGGAATAGGGATTCTTTTTAAACTGTGTTGTACCCTCTCTTCAAACAGCTGTAGCTGTACACAGATGGAGAAACATTTGGTCAGAAAGCAGCAAATTAGTGTTTTTCAGGACAGAATTCAGCTCCCGAAGCTCCTGCATCTCCATTCGTCTAGATTTTATTTCTTCTTTGCAATGACATTTTTGCAGACCCAGTTCATGCCGTCCTTTGAGGGAAATGGGCAGAGAAAGGCAGTGTTAGTTATAAGAAAGACACTATACACGCAAGCCCAGGAGGGGGGGAGGGGGGGTGTGGGCCTCCCCTCCCCTACCACTAGCTCCAGGGAGTCTGTCCCAGGGGCCCACCTGGGTGACCAGGGGTAGTGACCTCGTGGGGAGGCCTCTGAGAGCACAGGAGGGAGACAGGAGTGGGAGTGCCCAGTGTCTGAACTTGAGATGGGTTCTCAGGAACTCCCTCTGAAAAAATAAACACATCTGCTTGGACCCCAGGCCTGATTGAGGCGCTATCAGGAAAGATTCCAGCCCTTTTTGGCTTTTTCTAAAAGCTGACCTTTGCTAGGGCATTCCATTCAATAAGCCACCCTTCTGGTGCCCGGTGTGTTTACAGTGTGGCAGTGTACACGGGTTAAATTAAATTTCTTTTTGGAAAAACAAACCAAATGCAGTGTGTGTTACTAGACACACACGAGGGCAATGTGCATTTATTTCTCTTCGTGCAGCTCTCCAGATAGGTTTAGAGAGTCCGGGCCTGATTCTTGTAGCTGTAAGTACCACCAAGCTGAGGGACTGGGGAGAAGGTGCCCTTAAAGGCACAGTGACCTTGAAAGTGTCCTCTCTTAGGCTGGAGAGGGACAGAGGTAAAAACCACACAATGCCTACAGCCACCTGGCAGGTGGCATGCTTTCTCCTGGATGCCAGACCTGCCGGAGATGACCTCCTTTTCAACCCACTTTGGAGCCACCCCTCAATACTCTCCCTTCCCCTAGAGCAGTGGTTCTCAACCTTGGCTGCACATTAGAATCACCTGGGAATCTTTTTAAAATCCTGATTTCTGGGCCTCATCCTCCGGAAGTTCTGTTTCTTTGTTACTAATGTTGTGGCCCCACCCCATAACAAAGAAACAGAATTTCCGGAGGATGAGGCCCAGAAATCAGGAGTTTAAAAGGTTCCCAGGTGATTCTAATGTGCAGCCAAGCTTGAGAACCACTGCACTAGAGTCTCTCCGACCTTCAGGGGTGTGCAGAGTTCCTTTGGAGGCTCAGAACAAAATCAAAGCAGGATCCTGCACAAATCCCCTCCCCCCACTCCCCCCGAGCCTGCAATACATGCTTGCTGAGGTCCCAGTCACATGTGCACATCTCAGGGCATACATGACACGCAGAGCCCTGCATTTCCTGTGACCACGGCGCTAGTGGTTGAACCTGAACAGCTGAGCCAGCTTAAAGTAATAAATATCAGCTGACACCTTTGGGCATTCGGAGCATTAATCCCATGAACAATACATCACTGCAAAACAACCAGCAGGCACCCTATCTCCTGGCTAATCTGACCATCACCTGAATTTACAGTGATTAAAACTCTGCCAGTTGCCATCAGAACGCCTGGGTAGGAGAACCAGATGATCTGATGGCTGTTCCAGAGCAGACTTTAGGGCATCTGCCAGGATGAGGCTGGCCTCAGCCGAAAGCCTGAAGGTGGACAGCACCTGGCAGCAGGGGGACAAGGGAGGCGGGATGCCAAGGTGGGAGAAAGGTGGCCTCCAAATACATCTCCAATTACAACTGGGTCAGCTACCGACTTCAAAAGCTGAGGCCAATTTTAAGACCATTTTATGAAAAGGATTAATTTAAAGAGAAGCATGTTTAATTTTAGTAGCTAATTGGTTTCCAGGAAAAAAATGATCACCTGCCAGGAGACAGAAAAGATTTTACAAATAAAAGAGGGATGAATAAGATAACCATCTTCTCTTTGCTTCCCAAGCTGAATAGCTCAGCACTTATGTAGCACTTTCCATCTTCAGAAACCTGCACAAACACTATCAAAGGTACGCACCTCAATATTTTCTCCTCTATGGAGACTTGCGGTATTTTATCAAATCATCTCAGAGAAATCAAGTGTTCCCACACTATGTGAATACCGGCTTCCCCCCTTGTTTTATGGCTGATTTCAGGGGGGTTGTTCTTTTTATTATATGTAACTAACTAAACATGAATACAGTCAAAGAGATAGAAAAAATATTTACTCAGCTGCAGGAACCCGAAGCAGAATGTGGAGGGTGAGGGGCAGCTTTCTTTTTGGTGTCTGTTATGGAGGCCGAGGGGATTTAAATGCGGGAGCCCTGCTGGGGAGCCATGTGCTCCAGATGTCTGTGAGGCCAGCGGTGGCAAAGCCCTTTCAGCCACAGTCCTGCCAACAGAGGGCGCTCAGAGGTCAGTACCCACCAGCTATGCTGCTGGTCCCTGAGCCTCTGCAGCTGCCCCCAGCAGTCTGGAGTGTGGGAAGCACAGGGAGATTTAAAAGGGGCCAAGCCCTGTGGCTGCTCTGCCCTGATTGGGAGTGTTTGGGGTTTGGGGAGTTGTACCTTTCCTGTCATTACCTGAGGAGAAAGAGAGCTGGAGGTGAGGGGCTGTTGGGGAGGCACTAGTCAATGGGGATAATACCTCTCCACTCAAATCAGGACAAGCTGTGTCAAGTTGCCCACGGAAAAGGAAAGATAATATGTTGTCCAAGATCCTTGAGGGGAGGGTCCAAGTCAGACTGGCTTGAGGTTGTGTTTACAGAACCTAGCATGGTGTCTGGCCTACAGTACTTAACTTATATCTTTTTAATTAACCCTGTAACACCCTGTGAAGTAGGGACTATAATTTCCACATTACAAATGGGAGCACAACACAGTGTGTGGCAGAGGCGGGCTGGGAACCCGCTCTCTAGCTCCAGCACCCACACTCTAACCATTTACCGGTTCTCAATGAGTGCCGGCAAGTACTGGAGGGAGGAGCTCTGCCTCAAGCTTATGGAGAAGCTGGGAGTCACCCTAAAGCTGGGAAAGAGCAATGCTAGTTATTTCTGCGTTAGGACCTCCGACTAAAGGGGCATGAGACTGGGGTAGCCCAGGCCAGGTTCCTGCAGAGCCTGGCTGCAGCTCTGACGATGCCAGAGGCTGTTTTGGCCACTCAGCTCTCAGGATTCCCGGGCTGCCCGGTATCTCTGTGTGGAAGCTGCATGTTTACCTTGCTGCACATCCTAGCATAGCAACTCTCCACCAAGACCACCACCTTCAATGGAAATAGTAACATTTAAAGACAACATCATAGCAAGAAGCAGAACCTTCTGCTTCTCAAGTTTAAATTAGTGCTCCACATCACTCTTGCCTTAATTTGGTAAAGCTTTGTTTTTTTTTCAAAACAGACGACTGAGAAAAAGTGATCAGTTACTTGAAGTAGGTTACTGCTCTGCTTCCAAAGAAGGAAATGAACTCATAAGTTTGTTTAATGGTTGAACCTTTATTGTTAAAAACTGGTTTGACCAAATTTCTGCACATTTGATCTTCATCACGGGGATGACAATATTATGGCGTGAGTAGTCCTCCCCTTCCTTCCTCTACCACACCTCCTTCTGGCCAATCTTGCTGAAACTGAATTTAAATTGATTAGCTTTAATTCAATAATAGAGACTAAAGTGAGGCACTGAACCTCAAATACTGAGCTTTGTTTGGCCTTGTGGAGAGGAAATAAATTTTGCTATGTCATGAGATTATCCCCTAATATGACCATTGGGGAAAATATAAGGCTGCCCTAACCACAGGGGTGGAAACCTACTCATCACAGATCTCAGTGGTCCAGCATTAAAGGCATGATGCCTCTTTCTATGGAAGGGTGGACTCTGGCTGCAATGCTCCCTTTAATTTGATCACCCTACAATGCATCCATCACTGCTCAATGGTTGGAAGGAAGCAGTGGCCGCCATGGTTGGGTGGGCCTGGTTTTTTATGCCATGAGGACTACATGCCACATCAGTAATTGCTTTAAGAGGAGGAGGAGCTCAGGCCCTCGCTGAGCAATGCAGCCTATCCCATTGTGTCACCAGGCCCCCAGGGTCAAGGAGCAGCTGGATGCTGCATACATAAAATATTGCTTGCTATTAATATTTTTTCTGGTGACAAAGGGCACTGCACCAGAGAGGTAGCAAAATCGGATGTCCTGAGCTTGCTTTCTTGGTCTAAAGAGAGGTTTGAAATTTTAAAAATAAACCTGAGGTCTGACTTGCAGATAAGCAGTTCCATGTACACTTGGAGTAAAAAATAACTGATGCCAGGCCTTGAAAGAAGGGTAAATGTCATATTTAAAAATACCAAATTCTATTGGTATATTAAGGGAAAAGCCCCCTAGACCAAGGAAAAAGGAAAAAAAAACCAAGGAGCTGGGCTAGGAAACGTGTAATGTTCACGTGGGAGGTGCACAGCTCACACACCAGGGCTCCGACTGCTAGTGGTCCTTTCTAGGTGAGACACTAAGCCGGACCATTACTCCTGTTTAGAGAAGGAAGGAAGACGGGGAACGTGGGAGAGATGTGAAAAGAAAATGTGAGCATGAGGTGGGGGCATGGAGAGGAATACCCAAGAGAACTTTCTGCTCAGCTATGGTGGAGGCAGGTCTCTGTTATGACGAAGGCTAGAGACCAGCTTGAAACTGCTGATCTCTGCACTGAAAGGAAATTCTCTTCCAGTACAATTTTAATCACACACACACACACACACACACACACACACACACACGATGTTTTAGAGAGAAAATGTCTTCAAACACCTGACACTGCAGCAGTAAAGGACAGCACGGTGGTCTGGGTTAAATTCAGATGTGTAGGTGGAAGAGGTTGCTTTCTTGCTACCTTTCTCTGGCTCTAAGCCAAGTCCTTGGTTCACTGTTTCTAGACACCCAGGGAAAAGGAGTCCCAGGGCTCAAAGTCCTACACGAGGAGAGGCCCTAGCAACATGGCCCAGCCCAGGGCGCAGAGGGAGACTGCCTTCAGGTGTGAGGCAGCCTGGCTCAGGGGCCGCAGGCGTCCCCTCCCAGACATTGTTCAGTTTCTCCCCTTCCTGCCTGCATCTACGTGACATAACTGGGTCTCTTCTGATCGCTCCTCTGGACTCTGGGCCCCTCAGCAGGCAGGGTTTCCAAGATTGATGTTCTCCTTCAGCTGCTAGTGCCCTTTACCTATGCTCTCCTCTGGACGTTTCTCATGAAAACCTGCTTTAATTACACCATGGGCTGGCCTCCTGGTCACCATCCATCAGGCTAAGAAAGACCTGTTCTGAACTCTCCTGAAGCCTCAGAAGTCCATCTCCACACCCAGGACAGGGGCGGCTGAACAACATATGGGACTGCCTGTCCTTGTCAAGACTGCACATATTTGTCATCAGAACATCAGGTAGAACAAGAATCTGAAATCCATCCCAGGAATCACTCACTTCCATAACCTTAAATCATGTGTTTAAGCTGCTCGGCTAAGAAGTGATACACCTGCCCGATGAGTCCAGAAGGTGTAGCTTACCATCTAGTGGATCTGTGGTTGTTCCCCTGGCTTGCTCACTCGAGGGTGTTATTTTATCAGTAAAAATCCAGAGGTTTTTTTGTTTGGTTTTTTAACCTTTGTACATTTTTCCTTTTAGGGTCTTTAGAGCTATGGTGCCAGATGTTATTTGAATGTCTGAACATTTTAGTAGCTCTGCCCATTATTGACCGGCTCTCATGGGGCAGCAGGACAGGAGGAAGGAGGGAAGATGCAATAAGAATTTAGGGAATTTTAGTAATTACTACACAGTATCCATGTCTGAAAGTGATCTTATGGACATTTTTCCAGCGAGGTCTTTCCTTTTTTAGGAATACTGAAACCCTAGCAAATAAGAATCATTAAAGGCCTGCACTTGCATTAGGCAACGCAGGAAAGCAATTCCTCCTGAGTGACTCTTTAAAGTAAAAACCACGACACTGGCTGAGTGGACAAGAGCTTAGGTCACAGGCGTTACCTGGGGGAGGGACATGGCCAGTGGGTGCCTCACAATGAAATGCTTCCACAGAAAACTCCACAACCTTTCTGCAGTCCCCAAAGGTTACCATTAAAGGACAATAGACAGCAGATTCCCTTCTTAATTAACATTTTTATTAAATAACTCATTTCAAATAATGGTTAAACTCTCTAAATTTATATCATTCTATTAACCATAATCTAATCTCATTAACCTTGAAATCCCAGTCTTAACTACCCAATTCTATACACCATGGTACTATCTACTAAACTAATTAAGTGACCTTCAAACTATTTCTCCTCCATATAAAATCATTATATATATATATATATATATATGCTCACAGTTCTTTGTTAGATTTTTCTTGACATAATTTCCTGTGAATCTGGTTGCTGAAGGTCTTTGATGTAAGAAGAACTTTAACAAAAACAAACCATACATGGTTGTCTCACTTGGTTTAAACTGACTGATTTTAAAGCCTTCCCCGACTCTGTCTGATAGCTCACTGATGCTTTTTTGGTCTAAAGATCCTGTGACTTAAAGGGAACGCCACTTCTATGGTGGTTACACAGCCAAGAACAAGAGCTCTATCTCTGTAACCTCCCCTGACAGGTTGGGGTGTGGTGGGTGGGGCTGGGAGGACAATGACTAGAGCTCCCTCCCAATCTCCAGGCTCTGAGGAAGCACCCTTGACTTGAATGCCATTACTCAAAATGCTGATTTTAGATAACTCTAGTCCCTGCTTAAGGCTGGCTGAAGAAACAAGGACCTTACTGTTAATTCCGGCTTTGCTTTTTCTTCCTTTCAACACTCTGACCAAGTGAAAAAAGATTAGGGGCTGCCACTTTCTTAGCAGTAGGCACACAAAATGTGTTTATTTTCTCTAGTCCCACCTTTAGAGCCCCCGACCTTGAGATGTTCTCTCTATATTTGTGTTTGAGGCCATTTAGACAGGCAGAGTTCTCTTGCTGAAGTGGTTTGTATAAACACAAGAAGGCTTCATCCAAACCCAAATCACTCTAGGCCTCATGAAGGCCATCTTATGCACAATCAAGGGAAATACCTTAGGCTAAACTTGATTTTTTTTTTTTAAGTGAGAAGCTAAATAAAAGGATTTGAGTTTACCTATTAAAAAACATCCTGGGGCCCTAGCCCGTTTGGCTTAGTGGATAGAGCATTGGCCTGCAGACTGAAGGGTCCTGGATTCGATTCCGGTCAAGGGCACATGCCCAGGTTGCAGGTTCGATTCCCCGGTAGGGGGCGTGCAGGAGGCAGCCAATCAATGATTCTCTCTCATCATTGATGTTTTTTTCTCTCTCTCCCTCTTCCTTCCTCTCTCAAATAAAATAAATAAATAAATAAATAAATAACATCTTGGGGTGTAGTATACTTGTTGGACCAGCCTAAATTAAGCTGGAAAAATGCAGTTAATTCAAAACTGAATAGATCTATAATCACATATGTGATTATAATTTTAAAGAGGAGACTTGAGAATAAAACTATTAATGATAGTTCCTTTGTCAAGTGGGATTAGGGGAGAGGAAAAAACTTTACAGTTTTAAATTTTATATACTTTTATATGATTAATAATGAGAATATATTACTTTTATAACCAGAGTCTAGGAAGGAAGGAAGGAAATAAGACTTAATATCCCCCCTCCCTAAACTAAAACCTCACAGAGAGACTCACAGAGCTCCAGCATCCATTTTGGGGAGGTAGCTAAGCTCATCTCTGGCTATTTTAGAGCCCCCACTACACACACACACACACACACACACACACAGAGGGTGTGGGTATTAAGGACGGTAGAGGAGAGGGTGCTTGTCTTGTGCTGACTGGTCTATTCTCAGATCTAAAGGCCAAGCACAGAAACAGGCCCTGGTTGTTCATATAACAAAAAGAGAAAAACCAAGCAACAAACAGATGGAACAAGTGAGATAACTCTAGGACGTGACTATTTTCTTGAAATAAAAGCAGTCAGGCAGTTTTAAGACAATCAATGTCAAATGTTTTTGGAGAGAGAGAAGGAGAGTATTAGAAAGGAAATGGAAAGAGGCTGCTGGACAATTGAGAAGTTGCAGGCTCATACCCCAACACACCAAGTTCAGAGAAAAGCAAACTGGTCATGCCATTAGACACACACGCCATATGGCAACGAGGGAAGATACCACTGCTTTAGATGTTGCTAATCCCCCACAGCATCCCGGAGCAGTACTGCCCGATTCTCACCTCATAGTGTCACTTCCCCGGCAGGTCCACCAGATGTCTAAAGTGAGGCATGTGGGCATGCTGGGGCTTTGGAATAAAGAATCCTAGAGTGCTGACTCCAAGTGTCACCTGGTTTGCGTCTGCTTGGTAGGAAGCATCAGAGCTGAACCTCTTCATCATTCTTTGAGGATATAGCCTCTCAGTTAATATCAAGTGAGGGGAGCCTGCTCTTCTGGTATGTAGTGCCTCAGTATAAAGCACGAGGCCCTCTGTGAGCAGAAGCCTACCAGTGGGAAACCAAACTGAAGTAGCAGGAAACAGACACCAACCCCGAAGGCAGTGAAGACAGCCAACAGAAAACAAAACAGAACACTTCTACAGGATAACCAGTGTGCATAATTGTTGATGGCTCTGTTACCTTGGCCACAACATGAGACACAACACAAAAACCCCAACCAAATCATCAAAGAATCCTAGAGTTAGAAAGCATCCTCTATGTCAGCGGTCGCCAACCTTTCGGTCCTCACGGACCACCAGTGGGTGACCGCTGCTCTAAGTCTTCTGTTCTGACCTCCTACCTAATAGAGTAGTTTGTTGCTTGTGTGGGGTGGGTTTGTCTTTCCTAGAAAAGTTATTGATGTCACATTGGCTGCTAAGTAGAAAAGAACTAATCTCTTCATGCCCTTCACATCCTGGATTGTTCATCTACCAATTAAAGGCTATTTGTTTCATATCTTTCCTATCTAGATCAGCCCAGCCAATGAGACAGACTACCTTGGTTGGCTGTCATGTTGCCAGGTGACCAAGCCTCCAGGTAATCTCACCTGAATGCCCTCTCCTGTGAGAGCTGAGCAAGACTGGATCTGCCAGACTCGGTCACGGATGGTGTGCAGGTTCAGTCCTTCTGCAATTTCAGAGGCAGGGGCTGCCGTGAGCAAATCCTGCTTATTAGCAAAGATGAGCACTGGAACACAACTTAGCTTTTCTTCCTCCAGTAATTCAGCTAGTTCCTGGATCATTTTGAGAATGGATGGGGAGGGAAGGATGAAAGCTATGATATTTAACCATTAACTTCTAGCTAGAAAAAAATAAAACAGTTAAGCTGATCAACCAGCAACTTTCAAGGGCAGTGGTTCTCAAACTTGAGCCTATGAAAGACTCCCCTGACAGACTGCTGGGCCTACCAGAGAGGCTGACTTTGGGAAGTCTGAGCGAGAGCCCAGGAATCTACATTTTATCTATTTACTTATTTAGGAATCCGCATTTTACTAGCTCCCCTCTAGTAGTTCTGCTATAGGGATTCATAGATCATACTTTGAGAAACACAGTTCAAGGGAGAACACAAGTTGTGATTAGAAATTTAAAATTTAGCCAAGGCTGTTATCTGAAAATAACTTTCAGTGTATATGTGCGTGTGTGTATGTGTGTGTGTGTATTTATTTAAATGCGCAAAATTTGTGCATGGGTAGGGTCCCTAGGCCAGGCCGGTGATTAGGGCCAATCGAGGCCTTCTGGCTGCCGGCCAGGGCCTTCCTTCATTCCACGCTGCCCCCTGGTGGTCAGTGCATGTCATAGCGAGCGGTTGAACTCCCGAGGGGACAATTTGCATATCAGCCTTTTATTATATAGGATAAATTGAAAATGACAATTGCTTTAAAGACTATAATTCTGTTTCATATTAGCCTTTTATTATATAGAATAAATTGAAAATGACAATTGCTTTAAAGACTATAATTCTGTTTCATCAATCTTTACCTCCAAAACATGTCCATGCATTACACTTCATCGAACCCATATCCTAAAATAACTGTATTAGTCCATCTGGCAAGGTCTCTGATTTTTAGGCTATCAGTTGGGGTCTACCCTGTTATGTTGATTCTGTCTGCAATAAGTATAGGAGAGGGTGTGTACGTACCTAAATATGAGGACCCACCTCTCCCATTAAATCCACGTTTTAACCCTATGTAAGACACTTGTGCTGCCAAAGAGAACTGGAGGGTTCAAGAGGTGTCATAGTTATATGACACCCTTCACCTTCAAGCTCACATGAAGTGATGATCCAGAAATCATCAAGGTATAGAAGGGTTATCTCCAAGAGTCTGGAGAGTTCTCAAACTAATTTCCAGGAAAAAGGAACATAAACAGGGGGACGGCTACCTTTGGAAGGCCACCAGTGGTAGTTTAGGACACAAGCCAAGGACTCTGCAATAAAATGTAATCATGCTTCTCCAAAGAGGTCCACTCTACCCCTTGCTTCTTATCAGTGTACTCAGTAAAATGGTCTGTCCCCACCGCTTCTCTGTTTAAAACTGTGTATACAAATTGCACTGTGTAATCATGTTGACATGTAGTCTGCATTTGAAGCCATTTTGGGGTTCAAAGATACCTATCTTTTGGCTTGGAAACAAGAGCAGCTTCGTCTTGGCTTACACATTTCTTCCATCCCTTTGAATTTGTTAGTTGCCCTTGGATCAATTAAGTTGATATTGAAAAATGTACACAGACATAATAAGTGAATTGTTCTTCTGGGTTCATTTCTATGTGGAATGAGAAGAAACCTGAAGAGCTTTTGGGCATGCTGGTAAATTCCATTTTCTTATAACTTGTTTATTCAATTTGATTTAAACTAAAAGGCTTTAATCAAAAAAACTGTTTAAAGGATTCTGAACTAAGTTCTTTTTAGCCAACTGGTATTTTTGCCTGCTTGCCAGAGTGACTGTCTTGTTTAAACTGCAAAGGTTAAACAAAAAAAAATCTCTCTCACTGTCATACATTTACAAGGCAGATTAATGAATACCCAGTTATTTGGGAAATAGATCAACAGAAGAATTATTTACCTGGCCCGTCTCTTCAAATCTTTTTCTGTCTGCACTGTCAATTACATATATCTGTAAAGTAAAAGAAGAGGTTATCTCAATAGCAGATATGTAAAATACAGGGCACCTTTATGGAAAGAACAGGTGTTCCTGTCAGCTAATTTCACATTAGTATAGCATATAGAAATTGAGCTGGT